AACTTGTTAACACAATACTTTATATTCCATCTATTGGAAACAAATGTATTTATGCTTTCTTTGCATGATCCGTAAATCACTTTAACTATTTGGTTAATTTCATTCATCTTATATTTAATTGAACTATGTACCTGCTTGTTTTCCTTAGATGTTGGCCACATCACATGTTTGTAATTGCTTAAATTGGTGGCAAGCTGAGAGATTTACTGCGAGGAACATTGGAAGCAGAGGTAGATCTTTTTAAAAAAGAAAATAGATTGTATTCATACAATCCATTGTAATATACATGTTGCATGATATGGTAATGACTATATTTTATCTACACTGTAAAAACTCTTGCCATCATTTGCGATGGGTTGCTAACAATGGTTATCAATATCCTAGAGATTTCATTGTTAAGCAGAGTTTTTAAGGGCAAAGACTAATTGGCATGACCCGATTGAACTGACCAAACCATGATTTGAACAACTATGAGAAGCTTGCATACTATGAGCATAATTGTCACGCATGATTTTGTTGTTGATCTTTAGTACTTTATTTCTTATCTAACATTGTTTATGCCTTTTAACAAGGAGAAATACAAAAATGAAGAATCATATTGGTGCTCTACATAAAGCCTTTTCAGCTCCCCGTGAAAGAACCCAAAAGGTTTGTCCTTCCCACGTTTCCTTCTTTGAGACAAAGCAAGTTATTATAAACTTAGTCTTCTAATATAAGATTTATAAAATTATATTGTTTTCGTGGTACATTTTAAATGCTTCCAACCCTGTGGCTCGTCCAACCCTTAATATAATTTTACTTTTTTCTTTGCATGTTCTACAAATTTCAACCCTGTGGATCTCACTTGTCTTTCTTCTCCATTGTTTTGATATGTTAATTGGCTGTATTTCTTTACCAGAATCTTAAATCTGTTTTCTTTTAGAATAACTGAACCAGGGACAAGTGAGGCTTGTGGTGTTCTCTCAGCTTGATATGCCACGAGTATCAACATTTTCATATTTGTTCTTCTGTTTGGATTCAAATGCTTTGAATTGTTTGGAACCTGAAAACCGTTTTCTTTTCTAGATTTGTTTGTTGTATCATATGCTCTTGATGTTGTCTATGTTGATAGAAATATCGATCAAAAAATGCAGGCGCCAATGCACAAGCGAGAATGCTTTGTTGTTTTACTAGATCTAAAAATGATTTAAGATAATATGAGGAATATAGAAGCCTTAAAAAATTTGTGTATTACTTATCCATACATAACAGGCCCAGTGGTTAGGATCATGAAGAGAATGGAATCATAAAGCACTTTTATTATTCAATTTGAGTACCAATATTTTCTACCTATAGCATGTGTAGGACACAGTATTGTATACATAAGTGCCACAAAATCAATAAAAAAACTTGCATGTTATAAACTCGGTGACTATGGAGGCATGATGATGAAAGTGATTTCCTTGAAGTTACCCAGGCTTTGCCATGGTCATTCAGTAAGGGGACCTGGTTTGGAAACCATAAGATCTTCTAAATATTTTTGTTTAAAACTCATAAAACCTGTTGCTGGGTTTTATAGAAGATTGGTGGGTTTGGGTAGTTCATCAGGTGCAATAATCATGACCAGCTAACTCTCACATAGACGTCAACATGACATGAGGAAGTAGAGGGAGCAGTAACTTTATAAATCTTTGTAGAGAATGAGGATCCAGTGTGGTTTTCCAGAGTTCATTTACATCCAGGAATAAAGCATGTATATTTATGAGTTGTTTGCTCTTTATTTCTTTGTTGATATAATGGCTAAACCAAAAAATTTTCTTCAGGATCCCTCGGGTGAGACATTATTTACCAGATTAGACAGACTAGGTATATTCAACTATCAAGTTTAACATTGAAAATCTGTGACTTATAAATTGCACGTACCCAAAAACTGTGACTCCATATAACATTGAACGGTATAATCTATTTTATTCTGATAATGTTCAACTATTTCCATTTTCCACATCTCAGGTACCAGTTTAATTTAGCTGATACTTGATTTGTTTATTGTCAGATTGAAAGAACTTGTAGAATATGACACTCATCCTCCACCAGGTAAGACTTGTGCAAAGTACATAATCAAGGTAGATGGTCAGAGGCTTGCTCTTCATTACCTCAAAATAAGCATTGATCATCATCTCAAGCTTGGGTACAAGGCAAGACTAAAACTTTCCATTGTGATTTCATCTCTTTGCTTTTTCAACTGTTTGTGATATAAAAGCTCATTTTTCGTTCTCTCTTTGCGAGTTTATTGTGTGGGTGTGAGCCTATTGAAGTTAGACAATGCATGAGGGATTATTGGTGGGTGTGGGATTATTGGTGTTAGATCATGGATATCTCATCAGACATGCAGATTGCAATTTATAACTGAGAGCATAAAGCCTTACTTTCTTTTGCTTTTGACCTTTTTCCACAATATTTATGTGTTTTTGTCTTTCTTTATTTCGTGTTTATGTGTAAAAATCATAATCTTTTTTATAGATACTTAAGCACAGATAAATCTGCAAAACCTAGCAAAGAACAGGAACAATGCATCTGAAGAAAATCATTATCATTTTAATTTCGCAATATGATTCTTCCACATTCTACATGCAATAGGAAATGCTTAGTGATTACTGTCATTAGTTCATGACTAAATGACATTTTTAAATTTTAAAATCAATTTATTTTAATATCAATTATCAATTTATTTTAAGTTTGTTCATGATTGTTGTAGGTGCTTTTGAAGAAACTATAAGAGGCCGTTTTAAAGAGGCATATAGAACTGCTCCATTAATCATATTAATTGATGAGATAGATGCAATTGCTTCCAAGTGAGAAAACCTGCAAAGTGAGATGGAATGGCGGATAGTAACACAACTTATGACTTGCAATCATTAAAGACTTTGTTGTCTGTTGACTAGAAGAAATAGATCCTGAGCATTAGAGATTGATAGTGAAGTGTGGATCCATGGAGGCTGTGATTGTTAAATTTGGTGGATGGACGATTGCACTCAAGTTCTCTATGGCTAAGGCTCTACAGTCCACCGCTTTCTACATAGAGATATCCCCTTGTGTCATAGTCTAATATTATCTGGAGAGGTTAGCTATGCCTAAACACACTTTTATCATGTGGATTGCTTTTTTGTGTAGGCTTCTAACTCAGAGCAGGCATCTCAATATAATTTATGAGAGCAAGTGCATTTTGTAATTATGTTCATGAGGATTTGGCTCATCTTTTTTTTTTCAACGCCCCTTCTCTGTAATAAATTGGAAGATAATTTTATGTTGGATTTGCATTGAGAGATATCCTTTGCCATGGCTTGGTGAGATTGCTTGGTTTATTTCTCATGCAGACGATAGAGCTATTACAAAGATCTTGTGTGCTGCCTTTGCTGCTGCTTTGTATCATATTTGGAGAGAATGAAATGCTAGGAGATTTTGGTCTTGTATTAGCAGGGTTAATGTCATTGTGAAGAGGATTAACGTTGATATTATAGCTAGAATCTTACATAGTAATCAGCCTTCACAGGTTCAGTTTTGGATGGTCAACTTGTAGCTGTTTCTTGGTTTTGTGAGTTGAGTGGCTTGCTTGATTCTTTCGTAGAGAATGCTGTATAGCTGGGTATGCCCAGTTTTTGATTGTACATGAACGTTCACAGGTTAATAAAAGTTTCATTTACCTTTACAAAAAGATGAATCAATTCTTTACAAAAGTAAATACTCCCATAACTATTCTTTTATTATATTGTAGGTGGGTTAATAGCATTCTGAAGCTCAAATTCTTTTTGGTACAGGATTGGGGATGTCGTCTGGCTTGCTGGGTTCCTAAACTCACGCCTAAACCACAATTTCTATGCTGGAGGGCCTTCTTCTTAGCATAACAAGTCGGCAGAGCTTAAATCATGAATGGCGCCAGTCAACTAACTCTTTATTGTGCTTGCGTTTTGGGTATGAACCAATTTTCAATATAACAATTTTTAAATAAATTAACATTACTATACATACATTTTGATGCTAAAGATGTGGTTTATTTTTTTGCCTGAGCCTCATCACATCATCTGCTACTTGCTCAATCTGAATCAATCCAGCAAAATATATAGGATTCACATTGACTTGTATTTGGGGAATGACTGCTGCTTGTTCATTACGCTTATCGACAGGGTCATTGACAAAACTATGCAATCTCCTTCCAATGAGATATCGGTCGTCTCTAATTGAGTTGTGGAGATTAGTGAACCAAACACAGAACCACTTGGCACAAAATAACACCAAGATGGAGAGAAGGCAACCAAGCCAAGCAAAACGATACACTGCACAGTTAATGATCAATGGATAGCAAAGCAAAAGGGAAAAGAACTATGGCAAATACATATGAAACACAAAGTGCAATCATAAGCTTTGAGATGAAAGGAATTTCCAAGGCTTTTCAAAGAAATTAGTGCAAAGACTTAGAAATGCTAAAACGTTATAAGCTTGGATTTACATACACATCATCAAAATTTAAGCTTGGATTTACATACACATCATCAAAATTTACTTTTATGTATATTCTTGTTATAGTATTGATTGATTCATCGCCTTGTAGATACAACAACTCTAATATCGCATAATTGATCCCTACAAATAATTTTATTGTTCAAACATTTAGAATTACATTCAATAAATTTATACAAATTAAATCTATAATTATAATTTAAAATAAATATTAAGAATTTTACCACGTGCATCGCACGTGCAATCCAACTAGTAAAACTAAAAAAAGAAAACCAAAAATCCCTGTCATCGGGTACCGAAGCGAAGCTCAAAGGTTAATCGTGGTGAGAGTATGTAATTTGACCGGCTACAGCTTACGCGCGCGTGTGAACCTAGTCTGATCAGCGTTCACCCGAGTCTCGACTCCGAACGGCTTTCGATGACCTCGGTGGCCCATTCCGTAAATAAACACCCCCAACGTGCGCACTTCTACGCACAAAAAAAAAACCCCCCTCGAATCCCCTCGAAAAATAAATAAAAATCTAATCCGTCGCCGCTTTTATCCTACTCTGCCCTAAAATCCCCCGAACCCCCTAAAAAGCTCTGCCCTTTACCCAAACCCTAACCCCACTCAAAACCCTAACCCTCTCTCCAATGGCGCCTCCCTCCAACGACACTGCGACGGAGTCAGGCGAGGAGGTCCGCCACAAACGGACCCGCTGGCGGCGTCGGCCTCCGCGGCGTTGCGAAGGAGGCGGGTGCTCCGGCGGCCGCGCGCGGCGAAGGACGGAGGGAGATCAAGAAGTGGCCCGCGTGGCCTGGAGACAACGTATTCCGCATGGTGGTTCCGGTGGTTAAAGTTGGGAGCTTGATTGGGAAGAAAGGGGAACTCATCAAGAAGTTGTGCGAGGAGACTCGTGCGAAGGTTCGGATTCTTGATGGCGTTTCCGGGACTACGGATCGGATTGTGAGGACTGTTAACACTTTGATTTAGTGTTTTTGTAGTTTGTTGTCGATTTTGTTGTTGATAACATTCGGGGGTTTGGGCTGGGTTTTACTTGAATATATTGACAAGAATTTAGGGCCTGTTTAGAGTACGAAATAGATCAAAGAGTAACTTCAAAGATTACGAAGTCGAAAATAGTGGAAGTAGTTCTTTTTTTTTATTTGTTCCACATATAGTTTTTGAAGCAATGTAAAGTATTTCATACCTTTCACTCAGTTTTTTTTGGATAACAAAGAAAAACGGTTACTGAGTAAATAATAAAGAAAATGATAATAAAAATTATTCTTTTCCTAAATTCATGCTCATTTCACCTGATCCTTGTATGGGTCGGGGGAAAAAATTAGGAAATAGGGGAAAACTTTCAGAAATAGGGATAAAATGGAGGCGTCGTCTCAGCATTTAAGGAAGTGTGAAAGTAGGTTTTATAGAGGTAAAAACGTTATTATTTTTCTGTCAGAAGTAGTGTCGACTTCCTTTACTTCATCTACTTCATAATTAATTTTGTGCTAAAAAGGCCCTTAGTGAAGGGTTATTTTCACGCTGGTAGTTAATTTCAATGTGCCCAAATGGTATTCTTAACCTGAAGTAATTGGCACTGATAAATTAAAGGGTTAATTGGGAATAGAACCCCTGTGTGAATTTTTTTTGTCTCTTACAATGGTTTAAAAGGTTTCAAAGAGCTAGATAGTTCTATTTGTGAGGAGAGATACCCAGTTGCTTTTTTTTTCGCTCTAAAAAGAGTTGAAAAAGTTCACGTCAGGGGGTGTATTCACACTTGGACCAATACTACAGGGGGTCTATTCGCAATTGGGCGATACTACAAGGGGTCTATTCGCAATTAACCCTAAATTGAATTGATATAAAATGGCATTATGTTCATTTAATATTACTAATTTCTTCTCTACTCTGCCCAAACCCCCCATTTCATAACCCTATATTCCCTAAATTTGAGAGGCAAATATTTTCATCCGTGTAGAATGTTTCTAACCGGATTTAATTTTTTTCTTCTAATTGGATTAAATGATGAAGCGGAGTTTAACGTAACAGAGTTTCATGCTGGATTGTCTTTCTGCCCAGTGCTTGAAACTGCTTTCATGCATGATAGTTGTTAGTGGAGATTAAAACATTCTTAAATATAGAAGAAAGAAGAGTAGTTTTGAGGTAACTGTAGACGTCAAAAAATGCTGAGAGATATCCAAACACAGCTCAAAAGGAAGTCATCCAAAATGTCAAAAAGAACACAAGTATAGACTGTCTCGCACGCGAGACAGTCTTTACTGTCTCGCACGCTCAAAAAATGCTGAAAGATATCCAAATACAACTGAAGAGAAGATCATTCAAAAAATCAAAGAAAAGACAGCCTTTACTGTCTCGCCGTGCGAGACAGACTTTACTGTCTCACCATACGAGACAGAATTTACTGTCTCGCACGTGAGACAGCTCTCAGATGGTCAAAACCGCCTTTGTAACTGCTCTACACGTGGCCACTATCTGTTCAAGAACGTGGGAAACGTCGTGGGCGAGAATCACGTGGATAACTGCCAATATAACGGAGTTTGAAACGTGGGAAGGCAGTTAAAACGAAAACTGCCTGACGGTTACTATTTCCGAGATAGCGTTTACTATCTCGCGGGCCGAGACAGCAAACACTGTCTCGCCCGCCGAGACAGCAAACACTGCCCCCCCAGCCGAGACAGCAAATGCTGTCTCGTGAGTCTGTTTTCCGCCAACTGCTCCTAGGGGCTATAAATACCCCCCGAAGACTATTTTTGAGGAGAGGCTGATCATTTTGAGCACTTCAGAGCAATCCAGAACAGGGAGAGAGCAAAGTTCTTGAGCTTCTGACGATTCCTTGAGATTCGAGCTTTGATTTGATCTTAAGAAGAACGACTATCTTACTTCGATAAGATATCGTTTCAAGTTCTCACTTCGATAAACGAAGTCAGAATCATAAACCCCTCACGATTCGATCAGAATCTGTGATTTGGTGGTCCACGGGCTAACGCATTCCCGGCACAGGTAAAGATCCCACGCAAGCAGTGATCCAAACAACGATCCTGCGTTTGTTTCCCAAGAGTTGTAATTTTCATTTTGTTGTGTAAAAGAAGTCTTATAAAAAGGCTATCTCTTTTTGAATTTATTGTAATCGACTGAAGATATAATGAATTCCTCAACAGAAACAATTTTTGCTGAAAACAAGCTGGCGACCACAGTGGGAGCCAACGGTCTCGCTGCCGAGACCGTCGTGTCGCAGCCAATCATCAAGATCCTGGTTGAATCAACGGTCGAGTACGAGTTCGACCAAGCGAAGTTTGAGGAGTATTTGTCATCCTCATCTGTAAAGTCTTCCGCGCCTCGTAAATGCAGGAAGATTTCATCTTCGTTAAAGTTATCAAATGCTACGGATGAAGACTCTCGTCCGATTGTTGCTGAGGATTTTACTCGCAATAGCTCTGTTCAAGATGATTTCTCCCCAATTAAGGAGTCGTTCGATCGAAGTTCACCACTGACGAAGAGGGCTCGTCAAAGGCGACGCCAATGCTGCGCTCGTAAATTAGCTAAGGTATTAGAACAAACCGACGGGGTTCGTTATTACGCGGACCTAGAGTCGAGGAGGCATCGAGTGGTTCGGTTGTCTCAACAACCAATCACTCGTATCTCTGCTAAAATAACGACGGATGAATGGACTTTTGTCAAGAGGGCTCGCTCGACCCTCAAAGAACGCATACAAAAACATCGTGCAAATGCTGCTCATGTCCGTGCTCTCTCACAACAAAGACGAGAAAGGAGGAAGGAAACGGTGACCAAAGAACCATCGAAACTCCGTCATGTTTGGATTCCAAAGTCTGGACTTATGCAAAATCAGCATTCGGAGCCCGTTAAGACCCCATACCCGCAAAGGGGTGGTTTTAGACGTGTGACTCCCGACATAGCCTTGGATCGCTCAAAGACAAAAATAAATTATCCTGAGAATGCCAACAAGATTTTATACCCCCAGAAGAAGACGCATTCACCAAATGATATCGTCATACCTGGGAGGTCATGCTAACAGACGATACGATTTTTTGGCAATCATACCGATGAATCGTATTATCAAGTTGGGGTTGTGAATAATTTTCGAAAGAGAGTTATTCGAGAGATAAACTCTCGTTGTTCCTGTGCGTGACTCGTTAAAGCAACATTATCAGAATGTGACTGTTTCAAACGAGAAGTCATCCCACGAAGAGTCTCTGTATTGTCGAAGCCTAAGCCGAGGTATTTCCGCAAGAGAAAATCAGCTGCCCAAGATGATGAATTCCCTGAAGTCACCGTCAACGTGGCTGATAAAAGAAAGTCTAAGCGGCATTCAAATGACTCAAATCCCGATTTTTCTCCGAGAGGAAAAGTCAATCCAAGAATTGCTCAAAGGATGTCTCGACTCCAATTAGGAGCCATCAGACGCAGAGATTACAAAAGAATGCAAGAAGGAATGTCCTCGGAGGATGAATTCTCGGACACTTATTCTGCAATCGCTTCTGATGATACAATGTCTAGCACAGGATGAACCAGAGAAGTACTCACGATCACCTCTGATCAATTTGCTCAAATACTTTAAGAAGCTCTAGCCAAACAACGTGAAGAAATTAGAGCTGAAGTGAAGATAGAAATGAAGTTAGCTATCCAACAAATGAGAGAATTGCTAGCTCAGCGGCCTCAACCCCCGAGTCTAGTCAAAGAACTGAATCCAACCGTCACACTCAGAAAGTTGTGGATGATAGTGATCCAGAAGTGGATGAAGTCATTATGGCTGATACACCTCCCAATAGCAATAACGTTGGGGGTGGTTTAACACATTCTCCTAATAACGATATTGGGAATGGTTCAATGGCACCTCTTACAAAGGGTGATCTAACTCATTCTCCTCAACGTCATTCGAATGAAGACATAGATGATGATAAGAAAATGCAAGAGCTTGAAAACAAAATCAATGCTTTGATGACGGCTCAATAAGTTAAGAAGACGGGTATTCCATGTCCCTATCCAAGGGAATGAGATTCAATACTGTACCCGGCAAAGTTCAATCTGATTAACTTCACACCGTTTGAGGGGAAGAGTTCGCCGATTCAGCACTTGATTTATTTCAAGTCTCATTTGGGCATAATCTCTGGAAACGAGGCTTTAATGGTCCGGTCATTCGTTGGCACCCTTCGTGGGCCCGCCTTCGATTGGTACCGACGGCTCAAGCCAGGGAGCATCAATTGCTGGGATGACATAGAAAATTTGTTCCTCAGCAACTTCTTCGATGATGATACCGAAGTGTCAGTCGGAACCCTTTTAGAGGAGAAGCAAAAAGACGGAGAGCCAGTCGACGATGCGCTTCCGTAACAAAGCAATGAATTGCAGAGATCCTGTTACAGAGGAGTTTATCCTGCAAACATGCCATAATAATCTCTCCATCGATGTCCTGGAAGCTCTGGGGGTCGTACCATCCACCACTTGGAAAGAGTTAAAACTACGTGGTGAACAAGCTGAAAACTTTCTTAAAAGAAAGAAAGTTGAGAGAGGTCAACCAACGACATCCACAATTCCTGTGAACGTAATTTTCGATCCGAGGTTCCAAAAAGAGTATTCTTTCGAAGACGATGAAGCTCCAGCCATATTGGAATACCTCCTCGCCAATGACAAAATCAAGCCACCGCTTATTAAAGATCAGGAGGGTGCTAAGATGATTACAGATCCAAACTACTGTGCATACCACAGAAGGGTTCTTCATCCCATCAATATATGCTTTGGACTCAAAAATAAGATCCAAGCATTAATTGACTCCGGCGTCATAACGGCGAAAGAGGTCGAGTAAAGACGACCATGTTACTCCATTGGGTACACGAGTATAAACTATTTTCTCTGTCTCCGATGAGTATACGAGTATAAACTGCTTCTCCATCTAACTCCGAAGAGTATACGAGTATAAACTGCTTCTCGGTCATCCAACTGAATACAATGGTGAACCCAATTTCACAAAGGAAGCTGGGGGTGGATGATTTATGTAACGGGAAGTTCCTAGAGAATCTTATATTCTTAAGGATAACCCGAACATGCGACTGAGGATGACGTACTCTTCGTTATACCCAGTTTTGCAAAGAAAGCTGGGGGTCGATAATTCATGTAATGGGAAGTTCCCGGAAGAATGTTAAATATAATATTCTTAGGGATAACCCGATTATTATGAACAAAATGATAAATACTAAACTCCTATTATAATTTCCGAACACTCTTTTGATCACCTCTTTATATCAATCTTCCCTCACAAAATTCCTTTTTGGTCAAACCTTTAAACAGTTAGGACCAAAGCCAAAATCCCCTCTCGATTTCTTCCATGAACGAGAGGTCCACTCAAATTGAACGATCAAAACTTTAAACAGTTAAGATCGTCTCAAATCCATATTTTGGTCAAACCTTTAAATAGGATTGTCTCAAAACTCCCACTTGGTCAAATCTTATTACAGTTAGAACCATAACCAAAATCCCCTTTCGATTTAATTCATGAACGAGAGGTCTACTTTTGAATTGGATAATCAGACCCTATGACAGTCAGGATTATTCAAACCAGTGCAGATTCTTCAAGTGGAGATCCCACTTTGAGTGTCTTTTGCATCAGGAGATAGGATATAAAATTCTTCCTCTCTAATTTCGGGTTTATCTCTACCAACAAACAAGAGACCAGGAGATAGAATATAAAATTCTTCCTCTCCATCATCGGGTTCATCTCTACCAACAAACAAGAGACCAGGAGATAGAATATAAAATTCTTCCTCTCCATCATCGGGTTCATCTCTACCAACAAAAAAAAGACCATAGTACTCCAATAGGTACACGAGTCTAAACTGTTTCCCTACCATCAATAGGAAATTTCTGGAGAATATTACTCAAAATATTCTTAAGAATAACCTGGTTACCTCCCGACGGGTATACGAGGTTAAACTATTTCCTAAGAACTCCAAAAAATACATGAGTATAAACTGTGTTCCTATGAAGACTGATACAGTGATTAACAATGTGGTATCAATTTGATGACAAAAGCTGAATTCACAAGTACAAATTTCAGCTTCAATTCAGAATCTCGATGACGGTCAAGCGATGAACGCCATGCCGAAAGGATCTTAGCTATTCTACAAAGCACTGAATAGACTGAGAGACAAAGAGATCAAGTGTTGAAGCCATCTACAGGTTCTTCTATACGATCTACCCAACCAAGCATGGAAAGGATCATAAGTAATACCTATCTTATCCAAACCATCCCAGAACTCCTCTATAAAAGATTTGAGTCTGGAATACTTTGGAGGGGGTATCTGTAGACGTCAAAAAATGCTGAGAGATATCCAAACACAGCTTAAAAGGAAGTCATCCAAAATGTCAAAAAGAACACACGTATAGACTGTCTCGCACGCGAGACAGACTTGACTGTCTCGCTGTGCGAGACAGTCTTTATTGTCTCGCGGGCGAGACAGACTTTTACTGTCTCGCCCACGCGAGACAGACTTCACTGTCGTCGAGGGCGAGACGAGACTTTTACTGTCTCGCCCACGCGAGACAGTCTTCACTGTCTTGCCCAGCGAGACAGTCTTCACTGTCTCGCGTGCGAGACAGTTTTACTGTCTCGCCGTGGCGAGAACAGAATTACTGTCTCGCATGTGAGACAGCTTTCAGATGGTTAAAACCGCCTTTGTAACTGCCCTACACGTCGCCATTAACTGTTCAAGAACGTGGGAGACGTCTGTGGGCGAGAATCACGTGGATAACTGCCAAAATAACGGAGTTTGAAACATGGGAAAACAGTTAAAACGAAAACTGCCTGACGGTTTACTGTTTTCGAGACAGCGTTTAGCTGTCTCGCGGGCCGAGACAGCAAACACTGTCTCGCCCGCCGAGACAGCAAACACTGTCTCGACAGCCGAGACAGCAAATGCTGTCTCGCGAGCCTGTTTTCCGCCAACTGCTCCTAGGGGTTATAAATACCCCCGAAGACTATTTTTGAGGAGAGACTGATCATTTTGAGCACTTCAGAGCAATCCAGAGCAGGGAGAGAGCAAAGTTCTTGAGTTTCTGGCGATTCCTTGAGATTCGAGCTTTGACTTGATCTTAAGAAGAACGACTATCTTACTTCGATAAGATATCGTTTCAAGTTCTCACTTCGATAAACGAAGTCAGAATCATAAACCCCTCACGATTCGATCAGAATCTGTGATTTGGTGGTCCACGGGCTAACGTACCCCCGGCACAGGCAAAGATCCCACGCAAGCAGTGATCCAAACAACGATCCTGCGTTTGTTTCCCAAGAGTTGTAATTTTTATTTTGCTGTGTAAAAGAAGTCTTATAAAAAGACTATCTCTTTTTGAATTTATTGTAATCGACTGAAGATATAATGAATTCCTCAACAAAAACAACTTTTGCTGAAAACAGTAACCTTTTAAAATAAGAAAGAAGAGTAGTTTGGAGGTAACCTTTTAAAATAAGGGTAAACATGCCAGGAGTTTAATCAACTGATAGTCACATGCTGGTTCCAGTGGAAACTCAGAGTGTACTGTAAGGGAAACTTTAGGATATCATTTTGGCATATTTGATTTAGGCTACTAAAGTCAAGAACACTTAAATCCTGGGCGTTAAAGTGAAAATGACTCTTTAAGTAAATGGTATTTCGTTTGTAGTTTTTTAATTTGTTTGCAAAAAGGGAGTTTTCTGAGAAAGGAAGTAATTTTTGAAGTATCCGTCGAGACTGGAGGGTTTTACAAACCTAATTTAGAGAGAGCTTCAGGTACTAGAAGCACTACTATTAAGAAAACAAATTTTTTAAATATGCTAAAGTTTCTATTGGAAAACTATTCATATTTTCATAGATTATAACATCCTATGCAAACTCCTTGATGCGAAGTCCTTTCTCGGTGTCTTTGTTAACACTTTGTTCTGCGGGAAGTTTGTGACTTATTGTATGTTTGGAGTCATTATTATTTCTTTTATGCTTATGGAGTTAAGCTCATATTGTGCTTGTTTATGCATGTTTGTCAACATCCATTTGCAAGACATTTTTTAAAAATGATTACTTCTTTTCGAGACCAAGCATTGGATAGGCCATTATGTCTTCTTTTAACTTTTGTTATTGGAATTCTGACCAAATCAGTGGATAAAAAACATTTCACTTGTCTGAGCCTCATAATTTTGGGCACAAAACATATAGATATTCACCGTAGGCTACAAGTTTGAAATATATGGTATGTCTGAAGAGTGGCATATGATCTTGTGATCCAAAGAAAATAAAGATAAATTATCCCTTTTAAAAATTTACAATGGTTGACAACCATTGTTGACATTTTAGCATAACTGAAATGAGAACTATTATGGATTTGCTTGTAAACCTCTTCCCCAAGCCATATCATTCCCTATATTAAAATGTGCCTTTTATCATTTCAGTTTTGTTCACTAAGTGCATTGAGGGTTGGCACCATATTAAATATGCATATCATCTTATAGAATCGAATGAGTACAATGATATCTTTGTCAGATAGTATCTGAAAGTTCCTGTTACATTTAGGTTCTGATTTTCGGGAAAGAAGAGCCAGAAGAAGAATTATCTCCTGCAATGAATGCTGTGATTCGAGTATTCAAGCGTGTTAATGATGTCTCTGACGCTGGAGGTGATGGTACAGCTCAAGCATCTTCCAATCCTACAGCATGTTCAGTTAGATTGCTGGTGCCATCACAACAGGCCATTAGTTTGATTGGGAAACAAGGAAGTTCAATTAAGTCAATTCAGGAGAATTCTGGTGCCACAATACGAATTATTACTGGAGGTATGTACATCAGTCATCTTTGTGGGATAAAATATATCTATTCAATTTGCAAATAGATTTATGCGTGATGGTTTGGGCATTTCCTGTACTTACGATGGGGTTCTTACTGGTTTTATATGAGTCCTGTGATGTTGTTTCTCATGTCAGATATGAGACATGGGTGAATCTAATATCCTTCTTGCTATATGGGAGACCTTTGTTTGAATCAGGAAACATGAAGTGTATATCTCATGAATTAGAAGCTTTGTATGCAATGCTACAGAATTACAATTTTTAATGACTCTTTAGTATTGAATGTCACCAGGGTAATAGGATTAACATCATGCTGCGTCTTTAGATCTTTGGTAGGGTTCACAAACAAGAAAGGGTTTTGTGACATCCTTGCTCATGCTGCATAGCACATGCATACGTGAAATTGCAATAAGTAGCCCTAAATACCTGGACAATTGCAGTAAGTAGCCCTAAATACCTGGACAGAGGAGCTTTTTGAAAATATGTATCTCTAATATTCTGATACCGATCAGGTTAAAGAAGATAGAAAATTACCATCACATAGATGTATCCACAGTAAAGTGAGGCTCTTTATTTGCAGGCTAGTTTTTAGAAGCATGGACACATATATGGTATGCAGTCACATACAAATTTTAAAATAGTACTATAGAAAGGGAGAGACATCAATAGTGTCACATGCCTCGCGTCCTGACAACCTTCATTGATAGGCTTTCAGTATAGTTGTAATAACCAGGGGTGGGTTGCATATACAGTGAAAGAGGTGTAAAATTGCTGATATTAACCGAAGCTGCATGGGTTTTGGTAGGGGACACAACAAATTCGGAAAAGGTAGGGTATGGGAACAAGGCTGAAACACATGGATTGACATTATAGTTCTGAGCTAGATACATGAATGACTCTTTGAAATCGTAGTTTTTAACTGAATATGATCCAAACGAACCTGGCCATTGTCTAACAAGTTTGAAAATGGATATGTAGGATATATGTACGAGAACTGTATGGTGAGTGTTTTAAATTAAAACATGGTGCATTGGATAATTGAGCACACGTTTGAATAAATGTATGCATATATGTATGGAGTGTCCAAGAAGTGTCGGGTACATGATGTGTTGAGTACTAGCATGATTTCTGAAAGAAGTATCCATGTAACATAGTATAAGCTTTCCAATGGGAAGATATTTTGTTGATATTTATAATTGAAATTCCAACACTTGGTTTAGTCATGTGTTGATTTAGAGGATATCTTAGACCTTCCTAAATCATAATATAAATCATGTTAAACCTCCATTTGTAGTTGCCACTATGTAGTCACACTTGTTTTTTTAATGTTTTTTTAATAGTAATTGCAACGCAGCCTGACATTAATTCATAGTTATTCATTTTCCTTTAAGGAATCTCATATCCAGCATCGAGCTTCTTTCTGGTATCGTCTCCTATCTTTACTTCATTTTAGAGA